TGCCCCAGCCGCAGCAGCTGGGCGTACGGTCACCGGCGTTGAAGGGCCAGATCTTGTTAAAAAGGAAGCAAAGTAACCTCGATTCGCCGTCTTGTTTTCTCCCTTCCCCTCCCCCCCAAGCAGCAACTGAGAAGGCTGCGAACAAGTTTCTCGGAGGTTTCCTGCGGCTTCTTCTCAGTTTGCGTACGCTGCTCTGGGGTTTGCCCTCTGTTCCGTGTCCGTGTGGGCAGGTTGCCTTCGTCGACCTTTCATCCACGTGGAATATGGGCCTAAAATAAGTCTTGTGCTCCTTTCTTTGGTAAACTAATCGGATTTCAAACCCATTATGCCTTTGTGGTGTCATGTAAAACCACGAACGCATCTGCCCGCATGAGAAGTACCTCAATAGAAATGCCTTGGAAATAATATAAATATTTTGACTTCCTTTTGCACCCCCATTGCCGGGTCTCTCTGCCCGACAGGCAGCAAGCGGGTGCTTGCAAAAATCATTGCAATTATCTTAAAAGCAAAAAAACAAAACAACAAGCTTCATTCTCGTAAAATTTTAAAGGAGATTACATGGAAACTGACTGTTGCCCAGAGGCATTTTATTTACTTTTCAGCAACGATTCTTTGGACCACGAGGTTTGGGTGACTCCTTGGTTTACAAAGAGTGCAGCGCCTGGAGCGCACGCCCTGACCGCATCAGTGTGAGAAGTCCTGGCGCGGAGCAAATGCGACCCTAGCTCAGGGACTGCCGCGTTTTGGCCACGCGCAGGTACGTACCTACAGTCTGCCCCGTCTTTCTGCGTAGCGGACTGTTGCCGGGCCGTTGGGTTTTGCTGCATGTATGTGATGGGGAAATTGAATAGTGAAGAAACTAATTCAGTGAAATCTCTCGAATCTCTCAGCTGAAATTTTCCTTTTTTTTTCCCGGTAGGCCCAGGATTTCATCCGATGTAGATGTGAAGCATTTAAACCAGAAACTCTGAATTCAAGGGGCGCCCAAGGAAATGAGGTTTTTAGGTACGTGCGCTTCTACGTATGTCGTGCAAAGTCATTCTAGTACTAAATCTGGTTGTACACCAACACAGCAAAATCACAACTGCATGTAAACCAGCCTTAGTCCTGTATTTCACTAGGTAAGCAGGTATTTATACTAACCCAGTCCGTCTGTATCCTTGTGTAATTTGGACTTTTCCAGTAATCAGGGAAGAATTCTTCCTTTCAGTGGGATTTTGAGAGGATGGAAAATGCAAAATCGTGCTGATGAACCTGAAATGATAGACCCTTCTGCCAGTTCTCATGATTGTCTTGACTCTGCAGTAGCAACAATGATGATTTTTTTGCCACTAAAATGCATCCAGATCCGACTGTGACTTAACACAATGAGAAAATACCATGAAAAAAAAGCACAGGGGAGCTTTTTTATTATAAGTTAAAAGAAATAGCCAATTTAAGGACCATTTTTCAGCCCTCACTCAAGACAAGCTCATATAGACTTAATGTGATTTTTATTTTATATTGGTCATAAATATAATAAAAAAGAATAATGAGATTTTTTTCCCTTTGGTTTACAGTTACAATGCACACAGAGTATTTAATAAATAATTTCAGTCTAAACTGTACTACTATTTAAGGGAACGTTACCTGATAAAATCCCATGAGCCAGATTAACAGCAAATTAATCACAATAAAACACCCCAAATAGTAATGTCTTCTAAATACCAACAAATTAGAGCGTTGCAAAAAGGATTATTTAGAAACCTTTCCTCTTCTGTCGTATAAATCTTTGACTTGGTTCATTACACAGGAACATCAGTGGGGCTTCAGCACGTGGTTGAAATGCTTTGCAAAATCAAGGCCCAGCTTTAGTAAACTTAGATCCTCAGTCATTTACGTGCATTGATTTTATTTAAACCTTTAAAAGTACATAGTATTTGAATGATACTACAGTTTTTAATAACTTGTTCTTACCCCTGCTGTCTAGCTGGGCTGTCACAGGAACAGCCTCTCCCAACAGGTGAAAGCCGGGATCGGTCTCCGAGACACCTGGAAGGGCTGCTTGCCTAAGGACGGCGGGATCAGGTATTGTTCTAGCTAAGAAGTCCTGCACTTTGGGGAATATTGATTGAATTGCATTTCACTGTGCAATTGAACAAATTAAAGGACTGTGAGGTTTTTTTTCTGACAGGCAGAGCTGACTGACTGTCTCTTCTAAAAGATGGGACGAGACCTTGTGGTCGTTCTGTTCAGCTTTGCTCAAAAGGAGCTTTTTGCTGTTGTTTTCAAAGGGTTCTTTTGCCCCCCAATGGCCAAAATCCAGTTTACAAGGTGCTTTTTACATTTGAAAAACGTAGAAGCTACAGCATAAGCATGGAAATTCCTGAGGAGCATTAGGGGTGGGAGGACAGAAGTTGGTTCCTGATGCTTTGAAACAGTGGACCAAGCTTCGTCCTTCAAAAACTCAGTACTATGCTCTGTGGCTCTGTTCGCCACTGCATCTGAAAATGGTATTTTTCTTTTGTAATCCATGGAGCACTGATCACTTAAAAGGCTGTCAATAAAATGATGGCAGGTAAATAGAAAATATACACACAGTCCCACATCCCAAGTTATACAAATAATGTGTTGTTGTTGTTTTTTTTTTTAAATCACGTTTAGCCTAATTTTTAGTTGGTTGTAAATGGAAACCGCTGTGGCAGTGCTGCTCCGTGTCGCCTGTTGGGTTTTCTTGGAAGAGCTGGGTGATCTTTGGACTATGAGTGAGTCACAGAAATTGCTCTGTGTAATACTGTCTCAAAAAAACCCAAAATACCAATCTTTATGAAGAGTTTAACCTGTTTCTGTACCTGTGTATGACACCAGATGTATAAGCAGTGAGCAGAAAAGCAGCTCACACAGAGGCATCCCAGCTTTTCCTGGCATGGGCAGCATTTGTGTTTCTGAACGTCTTTGTTTTTAGAAAGCGTTCGCTTCGGCGCAGTGCGGCGGCCAGCTTTAGAGATGCTCTTGTTGGTTGCAGGACCCTCCCTGCCGCAGAAGTCACCAATGGACTGTGGACGCTTAGCGGAGGGCAGCGAGGAGGTC